CTTACTTACCTGTTACTTCGTCTTACAAAACGCGGAGGGTTCTGAAATGTGTAAAGGCAGAAACGAAAGGGAAAGCCCAGTAGAACGCGAAATTAGTTCAACGTGTGAAACTCGTAAGTAAAACTCTACAACTGCCCTAACCGGTTTGAAAAAATCGCGCGTGTCAGGGTTTGTTGAATTAACCGAGCGGTAAAAACATTTTGTTTGTGTGCCGTTGTGGGCGCGTACGCTCATTTGCCGAACGAAAGACCGAGCATTAGTGTGGTTACGTGCACGTTTGAATTCATAGTCCCAAGGCTTCGCTGGTCACTTCAAAATAAGAGTCCCGATCTTATTACTACCAAAATAAAAGTGCAAAACGAAACTTTACCATAGGAAAATATTGGCATACAAATATAATCACTTCTATAAAAAGGTAACACATTTTAAATATAGTTGGACATATTAAAGATAATTTACAGCATTAATAATTAATGTCTAATTAACTGTGAATGGTTTTCATTTAACATTCGAAATGTATTAGTCTGGCCAATCCAAGACTTCAATGCTGAAGGGCCAATGGATCTATGGTGGGGGTCAGCACAAAGGTCAGGAAAAGCTACATTTGAAAGGAAGACAACGGATGACCAAGAAACTAGTGACTTGCTCAATTCATTTGTGAGGGATCTGTGAAGAACAACAGCTGCACTACTGGTGTTTAGTATACCAGCAATTGAGGGTGGACAAGTTTCCTACCACTTTAGTTTCAAATAATTGTGTTAATTACTTATTGTAAAGCATTCGAACATTGTTTTGTGTCACATTTTCATTATTAAGTTGATGTATAACTGTATAGTATCTTAATTATTTAAAATATAAGGTGACTAAAAATGGCAACCATATTTTCAGTTTTGGCAACCAAAAGCTGATGCCTGGTTACCTGGCAACCACTTTTAAAAGTTAGCGTTGAGCACTGCCAGGGAAGTCACACTTTTGCACTAGGTGGCATGTTGCTTTTTTACATTGAACTCACTCTCCCTCACTCACTCTCACTCTCACTCTCTCTCTCTCCTCTCTCTCTCTCACTCTCACTCTCACTCTCTCACTGTAAGTCCCACATAAACCTTCCTGCTGACACAAATACTCACTCAAGTAAATGCAGATTAATCCTCTGCTAAATTTAGTCCCATCAAGGCACCAATTCCTCCTCTGAACTGTGTATTTGTTTTAAGATGAAAGCCACTGGGCTGAGAGCCACAGACAGGAGGTTACAGACAGTCTTTCAAAAAGAGGAACTCAAATATTGTTTTTGTTTTTTCATGGGATTTTGGTCATGGGGCTTTAGAATTTTAATCGGTTTTGCATTATACAACATCACTCTTTGCCAGAAAGAGGAAATATTCAGAAGCTTTTACTCATGATCTGCTACAAAAGCTCCTATTAAACACAAAGCCTCACTAATATATTATTATTATATATAAATGTCTTCTTTTTCCATGATATTTGTTTTTTTATTATGTTTTTCGCATCGTTTGAGGAGCTCGCGTCATAAGATTTTCATTGCCATTTCTACACGTTAGCTTGTGACTATAGCGGATGCTTTCACACCGCAGGACTTGCCGTACTTTAGTGCCGGCACTAAAGTACCACGGCACTGAATCCGCCAGGGGGCTAGTGCCAATCGCATTCACGCCGCAGTACTTTCCCTGAGGCAAGATTACGCTGACGTCACTTCGTCTTCTTCTTCTCTGGGTTTACTGGCAGGCCGCAAAACCACTTCACGGCGAGTACAAAAAAAACCGAGAGAAGAAGAACTACACGGGGGGAGGGGGTATAAAGCCCACCCGCTGTACATGAGGCATTTATAGTCCTGCCTGAGTTTCTTTATTTTTACCCGGCATCCGTGTGCACTGTGCACGATTCCCAGCTCAAGTAGCTTTTGCGAACATCGCTCAAAACATTTAGAGTTGGGAACTGCTTTCTGTGGAAGCTGCTGCATCCCGTCCTCAGAGTAAATTGCCAGAAGCGCCGACACTTCCTCATCATTCCACCGCTCCGGTGTTGTAGTACGTGTGGTCATAACTGCTTTAAAGTACAAAAAAACTACTCGCTCAGGTGTGGATGTGGTTTTGTAAAAAAATGGCTGCCTAACAAAAAAATTCAGAGTCTAACGGGGCGTGGTTTGCAATTCGCCCAGCCAATAGAAATAGAACTCTTTTATCACCAGGTTCGTACCACCTCTCTAGCAGGGACTGAAAATGGCCAAAAGAGTTCCCGGCACTGAGTAGTCCCGGCCGTGTGAACGCGACATTATTGGTACTAACGGAACTAAAGAACCAAAGTACCAGGGAAATTCCTGCGGTGTGAATGCGGCTATTGTGGAATTCAAACATGCACTGCTTTTCCCTCATGATACAATCTTTAATAATGTGATGTGACACTGCGTCCTCGACTGCACCCATGGCATTCCTCAGCTTGTCTACTTTATTTGTAAAATAATCATTAAAATGATTTGCAATATCTGCTTGTTTGGTAATGAATTTAATTCATTACCAAACAAGCAGATATTGCAAATCATTTTAATGATTATTTTACAAATAAAGTAGACAAGCTGAGGAATGCCATGGGTGCAGTCGAGGACNGGAAGAGACACACTTTACGAGGACGGAACACACGTAGTCTGGCACCGTCGGAGCGGAGTTCCTCTCGCGCCCTGTCGTCTCTCTCTCTGTCTCTCCATCTGCTCTGACTCCCGACTCTCTCTCTGTCTACTCTCTGCTACTCCTTCCTCATCTCTCTCTCCGTCCAACTCGTTACGTGTCATCTCGAACCCTGGACTTACCGTCGGAAGGTCCTCCTTATTTTGTGACGACGATCGTCACCCACGGGTACCCACGGTCGGAGTACCGTATGATAAGAAATCACTAGACTACACACACACAACAACCACATACAGAAGGTCGGAAGGCAGCTATCTCGAACACACAAGAATCACTCTCCGATCTCTCTACTCTCTCTCTCTCTCACCTGATCTCACACGTCCATCGTTACGTGTCACTCTCGAACCGAGACTTACGTCGAGGTCCAACACTTTTTGACACGAACGACGATCGTACACGCACCACACAGACTTGTACACACAAGCCGGAGGTAGCAATGACAAAGAACACTACGACCACAACACACACACGACACACGAGCATCACACACACACACTGACGACACACAGACACACACACACACGCACACACACACACAAGTAAACACACTACACAGAACATAACATCCACACAGAGTCGATTCATCACGTACATACACCCAGACACTCAAATCAAACAAACACACGAACATACACCACATCCTATAAGTTAAGTCACATTACCCTGACGCCCCACCAATACCGACACTAGTAGCGATGGATCTATAGCAGACGTAACTGATATTACACTCGACATCACCCTACATAAAAATACAGCGACCTGTACAGTAGAGAGGAACAAGGAGAAACTCCCAGCTCGGAGATAGTACAGACGACATGACATTGACATAGGTGTGGAGACGACAGGCCTCACCGCACTACTACATTAACGAATATTCTGAACACGTACGACTCCTCCACCACCAAGGAGAAAGAAAAGTACGCGTTTTACACGAATGCTCAAATACGATGGAGTTATTAGTTCAACACATATCTATTCGTCCTCATTCGAGTAGTTTAAACTAACACACAATTCATGTAATCATAAATTTGTACATATTATTAGTAATACAAGACGACAATAGCATCTCTACACCTACTCGCTTGCTCATAGACAATCTTAATGAGTTTCGTATAAGTTCAAACTAAGTATGCTCGACCATATTTACCATGGTAGTAAGTACACTAAACAAGTTATCACAAAACAGTCCTCTGCCTAGACATTCGAAAATAGAAAACAGACACTCGTCCTTATCAATTCCCTCCTAAGTCTAAACACCTACGAGACAGACATACAATGCACTCTCTACATCACATACACCGAAAGTGTGGACCTATCCTCTCCCAGATCTATCTATATACAACTCTCTTCCCCCCCTATACGTAAACCGAGGATACTCATGTGATAAACATTATATCTACTTATCATCACTAGCCTCTATCCTCGCTCAACCCTTATTATGTACCAGACAGGGACGAAAGGTCCTACTCGTAAGGAAATAACCAGAACAAAACCATAAAATAATAGCACACAATCAGGAAAACATAGCAACTACATTTACTCCTATCAAACGAAGTACCTACGATATCGAACACAAGACATTATAGACACGTACCAGATATTATCCACTCAAGGTGTAGTAATATCCTATCGGTCGTCCCGAATACCAAAGTCAACACATCAAGTCAACGCACACCCACGACCTAACGCGTAACAAAACAACCAAAAAACTACCCCCCATCCAACTACAAATACTACCGATAAAGTCAGAGACCCGGCCCACCTGCAGTTACTCTGAAAAGGGCACAACCTTCACATATAAATAACAAAATCAATGATCCAAAACACTTACTAGACCCTTCTCTAACTCTGTATAACTTCGTTACCCAACACACTGGTATAAATCTTTGTCGATTACAACGCAATTCTAATGGACGAAATACATCATATCCGTTATTATAACCTATACATAATTAAAACAAAAATAATTCGTAAGAATATAAACGGTAAGATAATGCATATGTAATCAACGAACTCTCGCACAAGATAAAACGACAGAAAAGATATTTGATCTAATAACCAGAGCACTCAGGGAAGATGATCACCTGAATATCTGAACAAAATTCGTAATATTAGCATTAATATAATTTCTTTTCAGATACCACGTAAACTTACAAACCAATCGCGAAATATTTATGCACATTCTACTTTTTTATTTAACTTCTAAACATATTTTCTAAACCTAAAATAAAATTACTACATCCTACTAGAATGGCACCCACGATGACTTTATAACATGTTCCGTAAATCGAACTAAAAAGTAATCGACCACAACAATTTTCTGCGATCTAAGACCATTTTACTCAACAGTGTCGATCGTTTAGTCAGATTCATATGCACTCCCATATTTCTCTTACGCACTATAGAACAACACCTTATGTATCAACTCACCATATATTTTGCCACCCTCCCAAACTATGACATCCAAAAGAGACATCGACTATACACCTTCATATTTCCATGGAGCTACCATTGCGCCATACTTTGATCACCAACCCCTAAAGCAGCATCGAACAAATCACGATCAAGAGAATAAGAACGCATATATAGCTCCGACCAAACACACTCTGCAGACTTCACACGAAGAACACAATGATATAGTTAATGCTAATCCTACAAGCGATATTTTTTTTTACAAACCTGTAGAAGAGAAACTATAACTAAAGTAGATTTTACAAGTGTTTCCCTCATCCGTACTAACAGTACCTTCGGCTACTAACCCTAGACAAACTACGTACATTTACCAAGCCATCTATAGATCGCGCTACCATGACACACACAGCCAAGACAGGATACAGTACGACAACTGCACACGACACTGCCACTCGCAATTGACACGACTACAACTCAGAGTCCGAGCGAGTACATAAAACGAGGTCTTAGGGAAACATCATCTGCTCCGACCCACAAGATCTGAATAGGAAAAAAAGCGTGATAAAATGCAGAACCACAATAGACACCTTCAAAGACCCCTTAAATTCCAAAAAAAAAACCTCAGGCGGTTGTATTCATCTATCATGTTTCACACGTAAAAGACAAGAAAACTAAAAAGAGGCACTATCTGAACATTTAGTGCGCGACCAATACACAATTCTTCCGAACCTATTATCACGCTCGCTAACATTAAGTCGTAGTAACAGAAAAGTCCGCAACCCGAGAAAACCAAAAAACCTACCAAACAAAGAGAACGCCACACCAAAAAATGAAAAAAAGACCCAAAACGACCACAAAAAACAGCGTACCCCGACACTAAACACCCCAACAACACCGCCAAAAAAAAACACCAACAAAACCAACAACCAAAGAACAAAAAAAAAAAAAAACCAAAAACAACCGGCAAAATGAAACAAAAGAAAAAGTAATCTACCGACCTACCGAATAATAACACGGCCCACGAAAAACCCACTCCCACCCACTAACACAAGACACCCCACAACAAGACAACCCCCAACACACAACAGCAAACAAAACCAAAACGACAACAACACGTACACCCACCTAACACAAAACACACACAGCAGACACAAAAAGCCACCCCCCTAGTCAACCCACGACAACACTACGCCCCCCCCACACACCGCAAACACACCAAGCACCCAACAAAAGCAAAAACCAAAAGCATTACGCACAGCACAACCCAAAACCCACACAACCACTAACCACGCAAATAGAAAAAACCCACCCCACACCCACAACCTCAACAACCCATCAAACAAAACCTAAACAAAACACAACCATACAAAACACCAGCCTGCACAGTGGGGCCCGAGCTTTAGCTGCTAATGTACAGTTGTTGGAAGTAACAGAGAGTGACTGTGCATCACACACACACACGCACACTCTCACACGCACGCACACACACACACACACGCACACACGCACACTCCGCACACACACACACACACACACACACACACACACACACACACACACACACACACACATCACAGTTAAATCAGGAGACTGGTGCCGTGACTTAACAGTTTAATGTAAATCCAAGACAAAGTGTGATTACATTTCTACACATATACAATATGCATATGTGAGCATACAAATTCTCATTAATAACTCGATTCACCTCGGAGACCGAAAAAATGATCAAAAGTAACAGTGAATAACAAGCTATAACATAGTTCACCACAACGCGAGCCCCTTCTCACCCTACAGTTAGTAAAGAGGACAATTAAAATAACTATATTCTTCTATTTGACGAAGCGGTTTGTCTGTTAAAATCCTCCCGTAAAATGTACAATGCTATCATTAGTTTTTTCGAAGCCTAATATAAATTCACTCAATTTTTCTACAACGAAAATGATTAAGAGAAGCACACAACATCATAATGGTAACACAAGCGCTTAGTAGCAAGTACTCAACTTGTTAAGAGGTTTAATTAATCCTTCTTCTTATTGTCATTGTTATATTTATTTAAACATTCTATAAAGCCAGTAAAATATCCATTCTCATAACATACTTAATAATATTAGGCTAAGGAACAGGGTATACATAGAACGCTACATCAACAGATTGAAATAATCAGACATCACACCCCAATAAACAAAAGTAAATAAGCAAAGACAATTATCAGAGAAGTATACTAGGAAATACTGCAGCACACATTAGCTTTATCGACAAATAATGAGATTTTACACAATTGAGAAACCATACAGCAATGGACACAAAGGGGGTCAGGGTTTGATGCACTCTTAGGTCTTTAGAAAATGGAAATAACCAGTGTATGAGAAATGTAACTTATCTAATTTAGAGTTTAAAGAATGTATCAAAAGGGATTGTGACTTTGAAAAGCTAGGCTAGTTTCAGAACAATATTTGTATAGTGTAAACAGGCAAATCTAGCTTTGAATGTAGCTTTGGTCTACTGCTTAGATCCCATTTACCACAAAATAAATATCTTAAGCTAGAAATCCCTCTTAAAGTCATATGTGAAAAGCTACATATTTCAGTTATTAAAAGAAATACCAAAGATCTTAAAGGGCAGCACTTAAAGAGGATTTAAAGTGGGGCTTTACACAAATTAGATTAGGAAAACAATTGCATTTTAATCAGATTTGGTTCTTAAATTCTTACATTGTAATCGCCTCTATCAGTGATGGCATCAAACCTTGACCACCTCACCCTGAATTCCCCCAAAGGAATAGCCAGCAAAAGGAGCAGATCTCCTCAAATAAGAGAAAAAAAAACATACACTCTCATCCGAATGGGCTTTAAGAATGCTTGTGTGGCTAGATTATGAATTTTCTGGTGACAGAGAGAACATCAGATCATGGTTAATCCCCCTGATCCTCACCACTTGGGAGGCAGCTGCAACTATGCCAACGGTTTATATTAAACGAGAGCGTTGTGTGTTCAGTTCTTGTCACCTTAGAGGAGTTTGTGTGAAGACCATTGTAGAACTGTGAGCCATCATGCTCTCAGGAATGTTTCACCGGGAGCAAAGCTGGAAGTTTGAGTGTATTTTGTCAGAGAATGCCAGGCTTCATCCAGAGTGAGACACTGCCTTGTTTCTAATTGTATTGTCACCTTTGGAGGTATTGTTGGTTATTTGGAAGGCAGTACTCTAACAGTAAAGTCGCTAGCTGGGAAGGCTATGTTCACCTCAACAACACAAAAAACATTTTTTACACTCTACTTAAGCACATTTTGGTAATTGTAAGGTCACTCGATCTAAGTTATAGCTCACATTTCTGATTCCCGTTTTTTATAAAACACAAAACATTGGTTATGTGAAACAGAGTAATAGACAAACGTATCATACATATCAAGTCATTTTTCCACAACGTCGCGCATATAGGGCTCCTTTAAATTGGGTTTCATTTGAGAAAATAGCGATTATTTGATATCCCCCCCAATAATGAGGATAGTGGTAATTTTACATTATTTCTCTCACATGGGATTTTGCTGGATGTATAATTATTGCATCATGCATGGCCACAAACGGTGTAGAAATTAAATGAATGGCCACCCACTGAGAAAGATCTAAAGCCATTTCAGATGCCGCAGGTCACATATTACATTCATTTTGTGCGGGTGACCATGGTTTTAAAGGTATAGTTGGTACATTTTTGATTAATTCATTTTTTTTTTTTATGGGTCATTCTAATCCATGGCACGCTAATTTAAAAACAAACCTTTCAGATTACAAATTCATTTTCATACAACACCAATAAAGCTACAACATCGACAATGCAAAAGAACAAAAACTGGCTTAACATTTTGGAGAGGTTAGATAATTATTAACAGGGCCAAGTGCGAGGAGAAATGAAGGTAGATTGTAAAGAAATTCACTGTGCTGTATTAAGTATGTTAAATCCTCCTGTTGGGGGTAAAACGACATGTTGTCCAAATAATTTGTAAAAAAAATTAGACCAGGAGTTATTGCCTGTCTGCTCTAGCAACGCTGTGGAGGATTGCTTGTACTCTACTGTGCTGCACATGATCGATCTGTAGAATTCTTTGGTGGGAAGAGCGAAAAATAAAAAAACAAAGTCCTAGGGTGACAATGCTATCCCCCTGCTGACAGGAGAGGGGACCGGACACAGCAGTGTAGCATGAGTAACGCCAAATTCCCTCAACCGTGGAATGTTTCAGTAGTCTGTTTCATAATAACAGAAAATATTTCAATGGAAAATCTTCTCCCTTATGCGTGTGTGCTTGAGCTTGAGGAAATAAAGTAGATCAAATCAAAAGAAAAACAACAGAACAGAAAATAATGAAGTAACCAGCAACGTACTTAAATCACATCTCACATCTCACAACTCGGAAGTGAAGGGGAGTGTGGGGGTAAAAAGTACCAGGATGACACTCTGGGGCACGTCAAAAGATTTGTTTTGAAGAGATTTAAGTATTTCGAACCTAGTTGTGGTAATGTGGCAATCTATCTACAGTATAAGGGCCCCATTGGATTATCATCAACTCCACACTTACTATCACTAGCAGTGTTGCAACACTTTAACACAGGTGCACCCACCTCCACTTCATACTACATTTCACTGTACATCAACCCCCAGGTTACAAAATAGAAATGACATATAATAAAAACGCACACACTCTTGATAAAACATCCACAAGAATTATTGCAACAATCTCTAAAAAATAAACACAACATGTACTACAGCCATGTCAAAAAAAAGTTCAAGATAATGTTAAGTTAAAAAACAACAACAACAAAAGAATAATCACTTCAAATGCAGGTACTATGGCATACCATGGAGGAAGGGGGAGGGGAAGGCTTTCACTAACCCACCAGCGGTACTGATGTGACTATACGAGGACAAATGAACAAGGAGATTTTTGTATCATTGGCTACATGGGGGAACAAAATTGAAAGAAGCAGCGAACACACACAGCCCTATTGGTTCTCTAAGTGTTCCGGTATCCCGTTTCGGCTGGCGTGGTGATGTCTGCGGTGTACCTGGTTCGAAGACAAATGGACAGTGGCGACAAAATCGTCCACAAGGTGCCCTTCCAGGTGTATGCTGTGGCATTTCCCTTCTGTTCTGTTCCTGCATTTTTTTTTAGATGCTACCCAAACCTCAAGCGCGACAAATAACTTCCAATTATCTTTGAAGGATTCACGTCAGAAAGTGTGCATTCAGGTAAAGTAGTGCCCTCCCTTTTGGGCTCCTACCGACGACCCGGACTCAGTGTTTCTATCAACCTGCTCAGTGCCAACTTGCTACCATTTTAGTCCCATTTAAGATAGAGAGTTTCGCCCTGCCCTCCACAGTCCCTACCTAAACTGACCCTATGCTTTCAAACAGACGCCTCACTCGTGCCTACACAGTATCTCTCTCGAACAACCCTCGATACTCTGCCTCTTCTCTGCAGACCCATCCCTTCCGCCTCACAGAACCCCCTCTCATGGCAACAATCACTTCCTGTCAGGCCCTTCTCTCGGACTAACTTTTATCCTTAAAAAAAGCAACCTCTACTGTGTCTCAAACATTGTACTGTAACTCAATCCCTGTTCTTGAAAACTGAGCTAATAACTCACGCTGCATGAATTCCCTTAAAAAACAACAAATATATTCCAAACTAAAGCCACATTTTGGGTGATAGAGGTTTACGTCTACAGCTATACTGTACATTTTCATATTTACACTAATATCCAGAGCACAATGTAACAAGAATTTATCTATGACTTTGGTAAGTACCCCGGGCAAGTTATCTCATGCACACATAATAAAAAAGTCAGCGTGATATCTGACGTTAATCTTCATCATCTAACAGTATGCTGTCATTTTAGGACGAGAAACAGCAAGGGCTAAGCCTACACCTGGAAGAGAGCTACAACTGCCCCGACTAGCATGTCAAACCAGGGAAACATGTCGTTCTAAGTATAGCTAGAGTCTCTTGTGGCTTTCAGGATCCAAGCCAAGTAAACTGTGTCGGTATATCTGTAAGGCACTACGAGGGAACAATGGTCAAAAACCTAAAGACTGAAGAGAGTTTTAAGGAGGTGGATTTACACACGCATGGCTGACAGTAGCACACACAGACAATCACGTTGTACATGCCTATGTTATTATAACCACTTTGTGCAATCACATTGAAAAAAGAGGAACAAATAAATCTATTGGTATCTGGAAAAAAAAGTCAACTGGTGCAGACTGCTACATTCTAAGAACGGGGCCCAGCAAGACACCTAGCAAAAAAAATGAAGTATCGTCATAAAGGTGAAACATAAAAGGAAAGAAATATCTATAAATACACTAAAAAGTTTGTTGTCCTCTGTTGGTTATATTTCCAGAAACCTCCTCGACTGGAGAAGGTGGAGTGGTGGGGGGGGGGGAGTTGCCTCTCTTTTCTCCCCACACCATGGAAATATTAAGACAGTTCAAGGCCATCAATATTTTTTTCTTTGTAGAGCAGCAGGTTTCCGTATTTCACCTTCTCCCAATCTTTCTTGGGATTCCGAACTTCCAGTCAGTAACCCCTGTTCAACAGTCACTCCCCGAATTAATGAGGGGGGGATAAAAATAAAAAAACAGAAAACCTCCACTGTCCCAAAAGGCCTGTTTCTAAATTCCCTGTAAAACTAAAGAAACATTACTAGTAAAGTAAAAAGTGAATAATTGAAAAATAAATGCAAAAACTGGCCCTTTCAGGAGAACAAAAATTGATGAATGAAAGAAAATAACTTGAACTGTACCCCTCTGAAATTCATCCCCATCTTTCCCTTCTAGAGAGGCGGTGAATCTTTTTCTCTCTGTCGTTATATCTTCAAGTTATATGTGACAGTTTCATGAGGATTGCATGTTCCTCTGTCTCTGTTTTATGTCTGAGGTCGAGGAGAGGATGGGGCTCAGGGCGGGTGGGTTTCGGGGGGGGGCAGCAGCAGCAGCAGTGCTGGGTCAGGCTCTCCAGTGTCGGTCAGTGTGTTTTCTAGAGGTAAGGGTACTGGTTGACCTTGGTGGGGCTCAGCGGGTATCCAGTGTAGACAGTGGAGGCGGGCGAAGCGTTGATGTAGGCCTGGTGGGAGAACTGGGCCTGGTACTGGCTGTGGTGCAGGGTGGGGGAGGGCAGCACCCGGTGGCCCATGCTGACCGGGACCTGGTGGATGATGCTGGGGGGGTAGCTTCCGTGCTGGACTGCGTGGCGCACTGAGCCCTGCGACGCAACCAGGTGGGCCACAGTGCCGGTGGAGCCCAGAGTGGCGGGGGTGGTGTAGGCATAGAGGTGGGGCTGGTTGGGCAGGTGGGTGGCAGCCAGGTGCGGGTGGACATTGGCCGTGTGGGAGGGGCTGTTGTGATGGAAGTACTGGGCCTGGGTGGTGATGGTGGGGGTGATGTAGGCCTGCTGCCGCCGATGGCCGTTTCGCTCGGCTACCATATGCTGCTGCGCCTGGAAGTGGGGGGACAGAAAGGCTGAATGTCAGTTTTATTGCTCCTGGAGTTTTGGTTATTCTCATAGTCGAAATGTGATTTCTTAAAGGTCCTCTATTATACTGTTTTTCATCAATATATTATAGGAGTCAGATATATACAAAACATGTCTCCGAAGTGTTTGGCATAAAGTGGCCAAAATCTGATCAGCTCATTTTCAGACAGTTTTTTTATATAAAAGGATCAGGACAAAAAGAGAGATAATCTTTTTTTCTGAAACTTTCAGAATCTTTTTACACTTTTTGACACATGGTTACTGTATGTATAAAAGACATGAAAAAGGGGATTTTGCATAATAGGTCCCCTTTAAAGGAATAGTTGGGATGTGTTGAAGAGAGGTTGTATGAGGTACAACACCTGTTTGGAGTAAAAGATAACCCCTCATCATAACATCCAAACTTTGCCTTAAAACACTTTAAAAAATCTATTGGATAATGTCACAAATGACTTATGAACCTTTTGACATTTTGATCAATTATCAATTTCATCTCTTTTTTTTGTTATCTATGGACAGAGCCAAGCTAACTGATTGCCCCAGTTTCCAGTCTTAATGCTAAGCTAAGCTATCTTTTGGTAGCCTAACGTACAGACATGAGGTTCGGTTGGTATCATTCTTTTCATCGAACATAACATGAAATCACTAAGTAAGCTACATATATGAACAATAAATGTTATTCTTGTAAAACATGATCCTAAAATATTTAAGGTTTTGTCCACACGGGTCAAAATGCAGACACTGATATAACATGTGTCACCATACCTGACTGAGATTGAGAGGCTGCTGCTGGAGGGGGTGTGGCCCTGAGCGTTGCTGTCGATAGGCCACGCCCCCGGGTATGCCCCCTGGTAGGTGATGATTGCCAGACAGCACTCCATTGGAGGATTTGAATTTATAAGCTGTATTCTGATGGTTCATTAAATCTGCAAGGGAGAGGATATGGTTATTTGGGAAGAAGTAACAATGTAATAATGTAATGTATTAAGCTGTATTTTAGGTCAGGAAGGAACCTGTCGTCACAGTCCTCTACCTGGCATCAGGCGCTCACACTCATTGGGGACCTCGCTGTTCTGCGTCTTGAGAGGAGGAATGATGATGGTGCGGGGGTTCCCGTTGTTGTAGTTGTCCAGGATGGTGCTCTTTGTGTCGTAGCTGTTGTTGTTGGGGTGTCTGGACTCCACAGTGTACGGGCTGTTGCTGGAACAGTCAGAGTCGGGCGAATCGTGGACCGTCACACAACTGATGACATTCTTTCGCTGCTTTGTAGATGAACTGGAGGAAACACAAGTGGAAAGTTATTAAGACATTTCTTTCAGGGAATCAGATAAACTCAAGGGACATCAATATGATGATATCCTATGTCCTGATCAGATTTGACATCCCCTCTGCATACTGTGTGCTACAGCCAAGTACATACCCTGAACTACAGAATTTGTGTAAAAACTTTTTTTTAATTTTTTTTTATGCGTTCTTATTTTGTGTTTCTCATTGTAGCGTATCACGGCATAAAGGAGTTGTCTTTTGCACATCTCTTCTTTCTTGTTGTCAGATGACTGGATGGTTATAAAATTGATTTGACCATTGCTCGCAAAGTACCGCTGCCACAGAAATTACAACTGGCCTTGGATGGCCCTGTTAGCATTTTACAACTCCAGATTAAATTACTTTTATAGGCGCACAGTAATCTGATACTAGAAACCAGAGATGTGTCATTGTAAATGTTTTATATCATACACAGCCTTAGAAATCATATATGACCCCGAAACGATACAAGAAAAGAGGATAGAAAGTGGGCTTCTTAGTTTCACTGGTAATTGTGAAAACAAAGTAAGTCAAAGCAGACACATTTTAAAAGGTCTCATTTCACAGTAACCAGCATTAGTATTCCGAATGATATACAAAGCCCTTAGCATTTTCCAATAAGCAAAGACTAAGAACTGACCTTTTCTTTTGTTTGTGGTCATCTTCCTCATCTGTGTCGCTGCTGATGGTGATGATGCTGACTGCAGGGCTGGGCGTGTCGGGGATGATGATGGTCTGTCTGGGGACATGGTGCTGGTGCTGATGGTCGCGGGTGGTGCTGGAAGCCTGCTCCGCTTCGTTGGACCCCCACCCACCGCCCTGTGGGGGCGGGCAGTTGGAGGCCGAGCCGTTCTGTAGCACAGCGCAGCGTGGAGGCGTGTTCTCCTTCACCCGCTTGGAGCGCTGCGGGGACAGCACCGCCTGAGAGGACGACACCTCGTAGGCCGACATGTTCCTTCGAAAAAGACAGATAATAGTGTTAATGTAAGAAATCAAAAGGTGTCAGACATTGTGTTGTATGTTAATGAGTAACTTGCTGGGTGTACAGTGCACAGGGTGTGCAAAGTGTCAGGGGCCTCCACCCACATAATGATCCTCAAAGAGACAAGTACCAACCAGGAAGCAATAAAGAAACATAACATGACTACAAAAAGACACAAATAGACTGCAAAATGGCCAAAACAACAAAAAAGAAGACACAGAACGGGACTAAAAGCAACTAGAAAAAACTTTTAAACAACTAGGAAAGACCCCATGCAACTACAAAGAGACTCAAAATAGCTACATAGAATTTCAAAGCAACTACAAAGAGACTGAAACTGACTACAAAAAGACCCAATGCCACTTGAATCACTTTAAAGAGACAAACTGCAACAACATAGAGTTTCAAAATAACTACCAATAGACTACAAAGATACACAAAGCAACAACAAAGATAAAATAACTTCAAAGAAACAAAGAATTATGAAAGGGACACAAAATGACAAAAAAAAAGAGACTAAACAAGTATGAATTCTGTGTCCTGCTCTTATGCACAGTAGTAAAGGTGGAGGGGCCTTCTGTTTATCCAAGCCCAGAGGCCCATTGTCTCATAATCTGATCTGTGTATGATGATTTACTGTAAAGAGTGTGAGAGTACCTGGCAGACATCTGGTGCTGTTTGTTCTTTTTGGAAGAGGAGTTGTTATTGGTTGAGGGCTGCCTCATAACGTGTGCCACTCCCACATTGAGCGTCTGGTTGGATGGGAGCGTAACATGGCCGGCCAACAATGCTGGCTGCTGCATGATGGGATTATAATGGCCGCCATGAGGATGAGGATTCCTGTAACATAACACAGTTTAATGTTAGCACAACAGTAGGACCTGCAAGTGCAGCAACAAAGGATGAAATGCTGCAAAACACACTCATGTATTTAAAGGATAGCCAAACCCAACATTGGTGAGGTAAAATGAATGAAGACATGGAGTATGGAGTATTTCCCAGAGAAGCCAGCGGGTGGCAGCATCTAACTCTTCTAAGGAGGACTCAAAGGAAGAGAGGGAAGAAGTGAGGGAGAGAGGGAGGGCAGAGGAGCTGACACCAGCAGCTGTGGAGCGATGGCTCTGCAGAGGAAGTGCGACACTTTCCCGATCGTCTCTCTGAGGACAACAGAGCTGCCACTGGACAGGGAGGAGGGGGGGGTTTCTGGTCACAGATGGACAGCTCCCGAATGAATCTGTGCATACATGGCCCCAGCTGTCCTCCGCATACACATTATATACCTGCAGCCACCTTATCTCCCGGCAGATCGCCATCTATCCATCCATTTATCGAGTCATCACAGTGACAGGCTCTCCTAGACATGATGTCTCTACGTGTACACATATCCCGTCTCCCTGAGGTAAATCTGCTCTTATGAAAGCGCCAGTATACGCGAAGGGGAATGTGATTCATAGAAGATAAAGGACAAGCTGTCATGGAGTTACAGGCCCCTCGGTCAATCAGTCTTACGCCATACCATCTTCCTATAGCACATCCTGGCCTATAAAAGCCATAAAACTACTGCTGGCCTTTGAAATCAATTTATCTGAACTGACCTACAGACTTGCCCCTGATGTTAGGTGCATAAACTTGATTTGGCAAAGTGCTTTCATTTTGAAGCTTTAGAGTGATACATGTCAACCTATTAGATTTATTTATCCATCTCAAGAGGAAAGGTGGATTTGGAAACTGTAGGCCACAATATTCAGACATCAATAGAGGCTGGCTGGGAGCGGTGGAAAGAAAGAAAGAAAAGACGTGAAATGAGTGCTGTTCACCTCCAGTTGGCGAGAGGCTGTGTGCTGCCCATGGAGTCGGGGATGACAGTGGCATGCTGGACTGAGGTGTGGGTGAGCTGCTGCCAGGCTGGGGGGAGCAGGATCTGCTGGGTGCCGCTGGGCCAGGCCTGCTGAGTGGGGAGGACACAGAGAGGGGGGGAAGAAAAGAAATTCAAGTCAGAGAGGAAAACAAAAACGGTCAACTGCTACAAAACAAAGCATCCAAATATGAATTTGTTTGATGAAGTCTGTGAATGCAGTTAAAGTAAAGTTAACCATTAAATATGGCTGAACAATTAATAATGGAAGGATTCTAAAGGCAGCATAAAAAAAGGAAGTGGACTGTGTGACACCCAGAAATAATATAATATGGCTTCTTTAAAATAAGGAAATGTTCTGGTATATGGATATTTTTCCTCAGTATATTGGACTATATTATTGTAATGTGTAGGATGACCTAATATATAACCCTCTTTTATTTTATTTGTGTTATACCTGTGTTATATACGTTCTCAGTGTTATTATTTGATTTCAATACATTTAGAATTTTTGGGATTTGAGACGTTATACCTGTTGTGACCCCTTGTCAAAGAAACTGCTCAACTGAATTGGAGTACTAATGGATGTAAAGGGGAATGTGAGAAAATAATTAATAAAGAATAAGTAAAAAAAAAAGTAAAAAATGGCTGAACAAAGGGAAGTCTTTTCAGATTAGTTTGATGGTGTTGTGATACATAAGAGTATCTTTTATCAAAGTGCATA